CACATTCATTCAGATCCATGTCGCGAATACGCCTACGCAGATGATCTTCGCCGAGATTCTGCCAAGAGATGGCCGCACGTAGAGCAAAGTTTAATGCAGATGACACGTTGCACGTTCACGTTAAACGGAAAAATTACTATATTATGCAGTAAAATGACGTTTGACATTTTAGATTTAGAGTAGAATTGTCATTACAAAATTTGAATTCCAACAGAAGAACTTAAGAAGATAAAGAAGGAATGCGAATGAAGAAGTATAGTAGCTAAGGACAGTGGCCTCACGATTCACATGCACACAAATCCAGCGGTGGCACAACGACTGTAAGAATACTAAGCCAAAACAGGTGTTAACAAGCTCATCCATACACGCAGCAGCCGTTGACCGCCACGAAATGTCACTCAACGTTTATGCGTGATATTACGACCATGCTGATGGGCGATCGCTGTTTCATACACACACTCGTCTCTCACCTTGTGAGTCGTAAAGACGGAATGCTGGCGGCGGAACGCGCGAGATGGCGTGAAGCGATCGCTTTGCAGGGCATCCGCCGAAAAATCTTGGCGACATCTGAACAGCCGGCTGCTTTTGGCTGGTCATTCCTTCCTCGGAAGTCAAAATGCCTGCGGGGCAAGAATGGGTGAAGGCAATGAATGGTAAGGTGGCAGTTCGCATCGCCTCATCAGACTGACCAGGCACTACATTAATTTTTATCAATTTAAACTATTAACTATGAAATAATAATCCTTGTTTTTATAATTATTAAAAACAAGAATCTACTAATCACTACCAATCCTCTCAATTGAACTGACGTCAGCTTGCTATCAAGCATCGAATGCAGTCTAAAAGATTACGCATTAGGAGTTACATGCAGAGTTAATCGAAAACGACTAAACCACAGATCTATGTCTCGCATAATAGACCTATGCTGTCGTCATCAAAATGCAGACAATTAGTTCTTCACTATTAGCGAATTGATCGCACACGTGCAGTGACCGCAAACCTGAAAACTGGTTTGCAACACATAAATGAAACATGATTTGGACTAGTAAAATCGTACCAAGTTGGTGAGGGCAATGCAACTGGCAGGCCGTGCTGAAATACGCACGTCATACGGTAACAATGGTCGAAAGTAAAGAAAAAGTCAAGGGATACCTAGCAGCAAACAGAGCGGCCTTGATCCCAATGGGTGTTCTTCGGGTTACCGCCAGACGACTCAGCTTGTAAATTGCTCATCCGGCTGACAGCTAATAATACGTCAGCCGCAAAGATCACTCCTAAGGAAGAAGTGTAAGGAGTAGTTATAATCAATGTAAAAGTAATCAGCGATTTAGCCTATGGAAAAGGAGAACACTCTAGATTAACTAGAACGTGAAAACTAAGCTATTCAATTATGGAGATAGAATATTATTAAACTAGAAATGGTAGTTGTAGCAAACCACATGTATCCCCGCAATCTAGTATTGAAGAAATATCCTGCTGGTTTTAGTACGCGACACACTTCTCCCGCAAGATTCGTGTAAGTATCCAAGTTTTGGCTCCGAGAATTCATTTAGGGCCCGAGTTATAGAGCGGAAGGAATAGTCAAGTCAAGGTCATAATAAAGGCCGCAGTGACCTGGTTTTGGTACGCAACACACCTTCTCCCAAGATGTCTGATATACAGTTCGACTCTTTATCAGGCACGTCAGGGACAATCCGATATGGGATTTTGGCCGGATATGAGAGTTTATGCTCAACACAGCATTTCTATGCAGTTCAGTAGGATTCATTGCATGTGATAATGTATTTATCGTTGCTATGATTGATTATTTGTAAAAAACTCTGTGTTTTATGGTTTTTATGGTTTATGAAATTTATGTAAATAAATGAAAGTAAAACAGAATTTTACCACTTGCGTTTATGTTTGTTTCTTTTGTGCTGAGATCTAGGCTGTAACGATCGATAACACTTGCGGGGTTGTATGCTAGGCTTAGGGCTGTTACATAGTGCGCGGCAGCGCGCCTTTGATTGGAGTACGGGGCTCGATCGATCGCGAGCGTGTAGCGAGGTAGCGTGTTTTCATTAACGTCCGCTAGTAAAAGTTGTTCGTTAACGGACGAAAGTTGTCCGGAGGCATAGCGGACACACACGCACACACCACGCACGCACACACACATTTTTGTTCATTCATATAGGTATACAATGTATATATCTTTTATTCCTTTGGTATAGTTTTTTTTACAGCATCACAAGTGAGCTAGTATTCGGTGAAATATCGTATTAATATGGCCGTAGTATTTAATCATGTACATGTTAATGCGGGGTTGCTCTTACGGTAAGTGTGTTTGTTTTGTGTATGTGATAGCTGTGTGCTCTTACGATAATCAATGTGTACATCGCGCAAGTTTTGAGCGAACTTTGAGCGAGATTTTCAGGTGGAAATTAATGAAACAAGTGCCGCATAGCGACAGCGCTCATCTAACGTCTACTGCGGTGACTCTGTGGTGGAGTGGTGGGATTCTCAGTAAACCCTGTTAGTCCCAAATGTGTTCACATACACGCCGAAATAGTGGAATGCACAGAGATGGTATCAGGACCTTCTCAAAGAATGTTCGTTGGGATCGTTATGAAAGTTTGCACGAGATGGCGCGTACGTTTAAGTGTCTTCAGATTAAAGATGGAAGTCCATCATTCGTAGTAGCAACAACTATTTGCAAGACAGAATAGGTAAGCACTCATCCATTTACCTACGCAAGCCTACAGGCTGCAAATAGAGAGCTGCCACCTGCAACAATTACGCAGGCAAAAACTGCCCCAACACATGCACTCATTGCACTGGCAGCAGCCACTGGCAGTGGCATACGTTACATCAGGAGTAGATAATAGGGAATTCCCTATTATCAGGAGTAGATAAAGGGATGGAGTGTGACTTCAATAAACAAGGGAATTCGTCATTTACTAGCCTTATAATACCTACGATTTATACGCGTAACTCATCCAACTTGAGCTCAAATCGGACACAGTTCATTCGGACAATCGTACCAGATTCGTTTCCTCGTTAGACACCCGCAATCCGGAGATACAGACTAAAACATACGACCGATTCTCCAATCTTTGTCCATTAATCAACCGTAGCAATCGCCTATACTTCAAACAAACAAGAAGCGGCAGCTACTAACCACACTGCACGGGCTTGCGCTCACGGCCGAGGCGCTGTTGGCTAGCAGGGTGATTAGGATCAACGCAAACACTGGCGAGATAACCTTTGACCGGTAGACAGCCTACAATGTTTGCCGTGTATGTCATACCGGCATGCCGGCACGCACGCACGCCAATCCGCTATCCAGCGCAGCTCCCTGCGAGCCACAGCGCCTCGCCGTGAGCGCAAAGCCCCGTGACAGTTGTGGTTAGTAGCTTGCCTTTTGTTTGAAGTATAGGCGATTGCTACGGTTGATTAATGCGGACAAAGATTGGAGATCGTGTCGTATGTTTTAGTCTGTATCTGCCGATTGCGGGTGTCTCGAGGAAACGATCTGGTACGATGATGGTCGAATGTACTGTGTCCGATTTGAGTCAAGTTGATGAGTTAGCGTAGTAAATCGTAGGTATTATAAGGCTAGTAATAGACGAATTTTCCCTTGTTTATTGAAGTCACACTCCTTCCCTTTATCTACTCCTGCTATTATCTATTACTCCTGGTTACATGTAACATACTGACACTACAGAATGCCATATAAATTATACGATTTAAGGAGCATAAACCTTCTTTAACCAAATTTAGCTTTTGAAATTTCACTGTGACATTGTAGCCTCATACATCCAGGCATGTATAGATTCTACTAGCAAACCCGGCAGTCAAATTCTTTCTAACAGACAGTCAACAAATCCATGTTTAACCCTCCTCTTGAGGTAGGGGGAGGGAGGTAGGGGGAGGGGTGGAGAGGGTGGGGGAGGGGGTGGGGGAGGGGAAGGGGAGGGTGGGGGGAGGGGATTCTACTAGCAAAAGCAGTTCAGTCCTTTGTTGACAGTGAACAAATCCATGTTTAACCCTCCTCTTGAGGGTCAAAAGGTTATCCGACACTTACTCTTCGCATGTCAGCAGAAGGGACATTTCATGGTCCTTTCAATAAAGCCATAAAAATGCTAGGTCACCGCTGAAACAAAAAAGTTTTTCAATCGCTCCGTCAGACCATGTCCTCAGAAAATGTCTAAAACTGCCCTGTGCCCATTGACCTTTGACCTGTGACCTCAATTTCGGCAACAGTGATGGCTTTTTCCTACCATGATGCTATACACCGACGTATCACGAGCCTAGGTCGAAGCCATTTAGATTTGTGCCGCATTCTGCATTTCCTCCCTATACCTTTAGTTAAGGAGTGAATGTTCCCCCTTCTTTTACACCTCTTGACCTTTGACCTTTGACCCCCAGCTTCGACATCCCAACTCGTTTTGACGATCCCCCAACGACCGAATATCGTGGGGAGCGGAGGGTCGAGCGGTTAAAGATTTGTGCCCAACTGTTGACGGACGACCGACCGGACGGACGACCGGACGCACGGACGGACGATCAAGCGATTCTACAAGCTGCATCTGACTATGTCAGATGAGCTAAAAACAGAGAACATACACTGCGAGATCGCGGCCAGTTAATAGAGATTTCCGGATAACAGATGGCCGGATAAAGGAGGTCGGACTGTACCAAGTTTGGTCGCTCTAGGTCAATTAAGGATCAAGTTATAGAGCGGAAGGGAAAGTGTCTGTGGTGGTGGCGGCCGTGGCGAGAGGCGGCTGGACAGACATGAAACCATAGTATCCCCGCCGACATCTTCGCGAGGGATACAATAATCAGTTAGACTCTAAGTAATTACATCATAATTAAGGATACAACAGACATTTACACTGCACACACAGTGGGAACCAAAGTTCCCTGATATTAAAAAAACATATCAGGTTGCAGTAGACATACGCTTGCCCACCATCATTAGAAATATTACATGAACGTTTGTAACATTGTTTCCTAACCTAGCCTTCTTTGCCTTGTAATCATATATCTGCACAGCAGCATTGTGTGGCACGCGAAACGTCACCACACGTGTCTTGTCTCTCTTTTTCTGCTGGAAAGTCTCACTGCGGTTGCTGCGATCAGCTAACGGGTCCTTCGCCTGACCCAGCAGTTCTTCAACTGCTGGTGTCATCTGACACAAATATATACGAAATTTTGAATCGCATTGGATGTGATGCATTGTCATTATCAATGAAAATTACTTTATTCTAATTTCATTTTTAATTACATGTATCCTCATGAAACTATAAGTGAACCTTATTTGAATACAGGAGTTACACAGAGAAAAATGCACATGGTGTTTTACAATCCTTTACTGGGATTGCTCAATTAGTTGGAAAAAAATAGTATAACATCGTATAATATAGTATAAAACATAGTAGACTAATCATTTTACCTAACTTGATCAACAGGGGTCCACTGTTTTCACATCAATAAATATTAGTAATGATTATTATACCGTATATGATCGCGTAATAACCGCCGGCGCCTATAAGCCGCACCTCAATTTGAATCGGGTAACCAAGTATTGCGCCTAGTATATTTCCCCTCACGGTATGGCGCACTTATAAACCGCAGAGCAGATACAGGGTTGAAATCTGAGGCCAAATTTGCGGTTATTACGCGAGTATATACGGGACTAGTTCACATTACACTAATTTGAATTTTAAAAAACATAACAGACTCACAGCTAATATTGAAGATGTCATTGTTTGTCAAATGCACATTTCTCGATGACTCTACTCACCGTTTTCTGCCAGAGTTCCTCGTCCTGGGTAAGCATGTAAGTTTCACCCACAATCGCTCTAACCTACAGAGAAAATAAAACAATAATGACGATTATTGCACGTGGTCTGGTGTGAGACACACTGGCAAATCACACATTATGATAGTATTGTAAATCTCATCCATCTTCCTGCATCCGACGATCTAAGTAGTAGCTGAATAATGCAGATGTAGTAAATGTATATGACACTGATTCTATGAACCTATGAACGAAAATTATCAGTGAGAAGTTTCAACAGAATCATTCACAATCTCCAAGTACCTAGGACTGGTTTAAACTAAGCATTTCTGTGAACTAGAGTCACTACCTTACACTCTGTTACTATATATCGATATACCGAATCCCAATTCTAATGTACTACCTAACCGTCTGTTAAATTACGAAACCTTTTGATTGCGATGTGAGAGTAATAGCTACTGAATTTTCACAACAAAGACCTCTAAGGTAAAATCATGACAGTCATACTCGATACCAATCATACAGGCTTCATCGCACTTACGAAATCCATCAATGGATAACTTCCACAATTAATCCATGCTATTAAATAAAACCAGCACATGAAGAGTGACATTACCTTTCCGGTCTTCATATCTCTGACATAAATTCCCTCATTATCATCCAAGGGAATTGCAGTTCTCTGAGAAATAACTTCCACCTGCACTGGAGGCACATACTCTATAGGACCACGAATCATCCACTTGTCTCCTGGGCAGCGTTGACACCCATCTTTATCTGCCTACAGGCCAAGGGCAGATACATCATATTTAATTTGTATAAATTGAACTCGGCACATAGAAACATTGTTTTGTGAAATGATTACGCATCGTTAGCGTGATACTTTGGGGATTAGGCTAGAAAATCACACTCGAGTATCACAAATTAACTAGAAATGGCAGTTGATGCCAACCACATGTATCCCCCGCGATCTAGTATGAATGAAATATCTCCTGTTTGGTAAGCGACACACCTTCTCCCCAAAATGTGTGAGTATACCAAGTTTGATCGCGCTAGGTCAATTAGGGGCCTAGTTATAGAGCGGAAGAGAAATACGATCAAGATCAAGGTCAAGGTCAAATAAAAGTCGCAGTAACCTGGTTTTGGAATGCGACACACCTTCTCCCCAAGATGTGTATGTATACAAAGTTTGGTCACGCTAGGTAAATTAGGGGTCGAGTTATACAGTGGTGTAGCTAGGATTTAACGTGCAACCAACCCTTGATGCAGGATAGCTTTGTAGCTCGGCCAGTACTAAGTGTTATTTCGTAGTATAAACCCAGGACACAATCTCTCTCTCTCTCTCTCTCTATCTCTCTCTCTCTCTCTCTCTCTCTCTATCTCTCTCTCTTCCCTCTCTTCTCTCCTCTCGCTCTCTCTCTCCGTCTCTCCGTCTCTCCCTCTCTCTCCCTCTCTCTCCCTCTCTCTCCATCTCTCTCTCTCTCGCTCTCTCGCTCTCTCTCTCCGTCTCTCTGTCTCTCCCTCTCTCTCCCTCTCTCTCCCTCTCTCTCCATCTCTCCGTCTCTCTCTCTCTCTCTCTCTCTCTCTCTCTCTCTCTCTCTCTCCCCTCTGTCGTAACTGCAAGCGTACTACAGTTTTTGTACGTGCATTATATGCTAGTACACTGTTACAAACGTGCAACGCGCAGAGAGGCACTGCATGATGACATAGCCTGATAACCCGCTGTAGGAATCACACACTGTCAATACTGGTGGCAAATAACTGTAGGATTAGCCTGGCAGGAATAAGTAAAAAAATTTAGTGTTGTCAAACGGTTGTAATTTCGTAATCAATCATCGGTTGGACCCAAGTAACCGATGATCGGTTACAATTGGTTACTCGGGGTGTTGAATGCCTGTGTGTGCGTAATGTCGTGTGCATGTACGTGTGTGCATGTATGTGCTTGTTTAGCCAGCGTATAAAATCCCTAGTGTGTCCTAGGCTTTAGCCCCTCAACAGGAAGTAACTGCGGCGAATGTCGGGTGATTCCCGAACTAAAATAGTGATGATATCTCTGATTCTCATCAAGTTTTCTTGTTCAAGTTTGACATTTATTTCAAATTTTTTTTTTTTCTTCGATGAAATCGATTATGGATTTTGATAACCAAGCGCTTGGTTCGAGCCACTGTTCAACCGATGATCGAGTATAATCGATGATCGTGACATCACTAGGCGCTTGGTTCGAGCCACTGTTCAACCGATGATCGAGTATAATCGATGATCGTGACATCACTAGGAATAACCACCTGAATATATACGCAATACACAAAAGTAACACAAGTTCAGTCATGCAAACATATTGCCAACTAAAAAACTATGATAGTAACACCTATTTTGACTTGTATGAATAGTGTGCCACCCAGTATTTACACGATGCGAAACTCTTTATACCACGATAGCAGAATACCCATATTGCTCTTAGTTCATATGAACACAGCTGGGCGAGACAGAGCCACTGAATGTACGTCATGCACGTCATCGTGACGTCACCGCTCACTAGCCAAGCATTTTCATTGAGGTGTTTTGCAGACTTACTTTTCTGCGATTTGTTCTTTACTGATACTGTTTAGACTTAATCAACTTATTACTCTAGGTACCAACTCGATTATTGTATGTGAACAATTAATTTTAGTTACTTTAGCTAAAAAGCTCGACACTAATCCTTTAATAAGGTATAGAGGGACGTATGTATCTGTATGCTCCTCAGCGAGCGCACTTACCGTGGTCATATCTACAAATGCTTCACTCGCATGGAGGATGAGCCCCTCCTGTTCACTGAGAATGTACACGCTTTGTATGCCATTCTCCATCTGTTCCCCGGGCTGCATGAAGAACGACTTATCGCCCTGCGAAATCAAACCCACTCATGAGGTTATCTGTGGCACCAAGGCAACACTGCCCAGCCTACACCACTGAGCATTACATGTAATCAGGAGCGTATAATGACAAAGGAGTAAGACAGCGATTTGGTACTGATTTCACTACATTTTTGTCGTACGAGTTCGATGTGAATAAAAATACAAATGTATACTAACATGAGCTTCTTTTGTTCACTGGTCCTTATTCTATCTTCCGGTAGTATTACAAACCGCGTAGCTTCCTTCGTTTTGACATAATTCGTACTTTTCTGAGACATGGTTTTCAACTTAGTTACCGTATTCTGGCGAGGCCACACTCTAAATTTGCACACACAGCTCTTCAATGAGCCACGGCAGAAATCGCGTCAGGCAGCGCCAGCGGCAACTGTATGCGGGCTAGAGATAATGGTTGCTATGCAATTAAAGCAAAACACATGTGCGAAAAGCTACAATCGGCTGGAGTGTCAGTTTACTCATAACCATTCATACACATCATTCCTCTGCGGGTGAAGTAGTTCAGATATTTTACCAGCGCAGCGTTTATTTAAAAAAAAACTGCGGGATTAAACCATAAAAACAAGGCATTCTAACTATAGTTTAAATGTAAAATAGTTTAAATTTTTAAACCCAGCATGGGTGCAACGTAACTTAATTTCTAGGCGAATTTTCTGCACTCGACTAGGCTACGGCCGAAAAGCCCTACCGTGGCTCATTGAAGAGCTGTGTGTGCAAATTTAGAGTGTGGCCTCGCCAGAATACGGTAACTAAGGTGAAAATTATGTCTTAGAAAAGTACAAATTATGTCAAAACGAAGGAAGCTACGTGGTTTGTAATACTACCGGAAGATAGAATAAGGACCAGTGAACAAAAGAAGCTCATGTTTGTATACATTTGTATTTTTATTCACATCGAACTCGTACGACAGAGGACGACTACTGATCCCTGCGCTCAGTCCCGGAATCGCGCCGACCGAATCATTTTATTGTCGTAAACGACTGAGACCCGGATCGCGCGTCAGGTCTTGTTACCTCCCCGAATAGAGTCACGCGAGCTTCTCATACCAGCTCTTCCCTACGCTCCACCAGGCCCACCCACACTTCTCCGTTTCTCCCGCTGAGACCGAGAGTCCTTTTTGAGACTCCACCGAAGACCTGATCTTCATCTCCTAGTACCAAAATCCGAACGCAAGCCACGTCACCGTGATTCACCGCCCTCCTTCGTCCAAACTGGATGAGTCGCCTGCGTCTGCGGGACGAGCTCCACCAGGCTTAGTCTCCTGGTCGACCCTCCCCGAACCCACCGACCTTCTCAGGAGATCGTGCCTCTCCTTCACCCACACCAGCTTGCTCTCCCGTCCTTCTTCGTCCCACCAGGCTTCTACCCGAGACCTCCGTCCGAAGAGAGACGGAGCACATGAGAGAGGGCTCACCAGCTTCTCCCGCTTCGATCCCGACGATAATCGAACGGTCCCTCCGCAGTCCACGCAGCTCGCGCCTTCTCCACTTCGATACCTCCGATTGATGCAGGTGCGCACCAGCTTCTGCCTCCATATACCAAATCCTACATGCTCGTCTCACCGGAAGACCTCCTTCAGACCCAGCGACTTCTCTCTTCCTGCGCCCCTGACCCTGCAGCTTTACTCCACCAGCGTTATCCCTTCGACTCCGTACGGAGTTAGGATGACAACAGGCGCTATCTCCTCCTTCTATGACGAGCCCCAGAGACTGCTAGACGTCGCACTTTGCAGGAGAAATGACCCGCCCGAGAAGGAGGAGACTGATCGATCCCGCAGCCGTAGAGGCCTCTACTTCCGAGAGAGAGAGACGATACCACCTTAAGAATATTTCTCCGGCTTCTTCCCCCCGCATCCGTCCTATGCTACCACCAGGCTTCATCCCTTCTCCCCCTCCGAGGAGTGCACGGAGTATCACCAGCCTCCCTTCTCTCGCCGTACCTCCGCTATCGGCCCAACCAGCTTACGTACCGCCTCTTTCCCAGCCAGCCTTGCATCCGCGCGCTGGACGACTCCCATGTATGCTCCACAGAACGCACTGAATCTCCCTTTCCCCTGGCAGAGATCCTCGATCGTCGGACGAGGCTCACCGGCTACTGCCCGACCGGAACAGATGGCCTCGCGATGGATCGAGGATGCACCGCACCTGAGATCGACTTAGCGACACTTGGATCCCTCCGTGACCCTCTTCTCCACTGTATGGCTCCTTCCTCCACGCAGCTTCTCCGCGTGCCTTCTTCGAGAGAGAGAGACGACGGTCTACCAGCTTGCAGTACCCCCGATCCCTTCGACGAACCACCTCTCTCCTTCTCCCCCTCCTCCTTCTCCGCACCACCTTCTCCCCTTCCTTCTCCACCACCTCTCTTCTCGGCACCGGCATCCTCCGTACCCACCAGGGCTTCTCCGCCCTCCTCCTTCTGGAGATCCAACACCTTCGTCCTTCTCCCCTTTCTCCTTGCTACCACCAGCTTCTCGCACCTCCTCTCTCATCGCAGCCACCTTCTTCCTTCTCCGCCTCCCTCTATCCTGCCGGCGGCGCCGCTGGCGAGGGTATATGCATATGATCTTATCCAGTACAGTGCGACGCGCAGACAGCGCGGCGAAAAAAAGAAAAGCAGCAGGCCCCGGCCACCGGCGGTCCCGGCGCGCCGCCGTGGGCACAGCGCGGGCCGCGGGCCCGACGGCGGGCCCACGAGTTCTTACAGTATCATGTATTATATAATTATATACATAGCATAGTCAACCACAGAACCCTGATAGCAAGCACGCTACAAGACTCCATCCTTCGCCTTCTTCTCCTTCGATTCTCCTAATCCTCTAGCCTAGCTCACTGACACCCCTCCGTCTGTTTCTTCTTCTTTCTTCTTTTTTTCACTTTCTTCTTCTTCCTCATCCTGTCCCAACCTTGTACTCCCTTCCTATTTCTTTCCCTCATCAACCCCTTTCCTTTCTTTCACTCTTCTCAACCCTCTCCCTCCTCTTCTTTTCATCACTTCTGCTTCTTGAACCATTCGTATCTAGCGAGGAGTCCACATTATGTACCTGGCCACTCTCGAATAGGCCATTATTCCCAGGCAGCGTTTTCTCACCTGCTGTCACCATCTCTAAAGTCAATTGATAGCTCGCCGATCTCAGCGCATTTTCATTAAGCGATGTACTACTGTCCAGTGGAGACACAGGCTAGTCGGAAATCAAGCATCAGTTCAGTTATCACGCAGTAGTACACAACACCACTATCATCACACATCTTGTTTAGCCATTATTTTTCAAATATCAAAGACTGAGAGCAACTCGAAAAAGTACCCTCGTTATAGACCAAGCTGACTGTCTCTATTAGGCCTGAACGAAATTTGCAACTCGTTGCCTTTGATAGACAGGTGTTCATTTATTAGGATGTAACTGGCTGATACAGATTCTTACACGGCCCAGTTACATGCGTCATAGATGTTACGCACGCAAGGTTGTACCTCGCTTCAGGACCTCTCCAGGATAGGTGGGAAGGGTTCCTGTGCGAGTTGACTCAAGTCAAGCATGCTCGCAGCTTCACGTGCTAGAAGGAACTTGTGCCTGCGTGGTTGTACGCAGCACGGGTTTCTCCGATGACGCCAGTAATGCTTTTTCGGGATCGTAACGTCAACGCTCTGGACAAGCACCACGGCTGTGACTCGAACGAACTGGAGGACGCACCGGCGCTTAGCAACGACCATTGATGCCGGGTTTCACAAAGGGCAGAGAGGAAAAATGCTGTGGCGTTGTCCTCCTCCGTTTGTTGGGTTGCTCTCCTTGTCGTGGTTGCCTCTCCCTTGTCGGTGATTGCTCCTCCCCTTGCCGTGGTGCCTCCTCCTCTTTGCCCGTGGTTGCTCCCTCCCCTCTGTCATGGATTCGCCTCCTTCCCTTGGTTGGGCTTGGCCTCCTGCTTGTTCGTGGCGTTGCCGTCCTCCCTTGCTCGTGTTGCTCCGTCCCTTGCTGTGGTGCTCCTCCCTTGTTGGGGTTTGCCTCCTCCCTGTGGTTCGGTGGTTGGCTCCTCCCTTGTAGTGGGGCTGCCTGCCTCCTTGCCGGTGGTTGCCTCCTCCTTGCTTGTGTTGCTCCTCTTGTCCGTGGTTGCCTCTCCTTGTCGCTGGTTGCTCCCTCCTTGTCATGGTTTGGTCCTCACTTGCGTGGGTTGCCTTCTCGCCTTCGTCGTGGTTGCCTTCTCCTTGTCGTGCGTTGCCTCCTCCCTTGTCATGGTTGGCTCCTCACTTTCGTCAGTGGTTGCCCCTTCTCACTTGTCGTGCGTTGCCTGCCTCCTTTCGTGGTTGCCTCTCCTTGTCGTGGTTGCCTCCTCCCTTGCGTGGTTGCTCTCCTTATCGTGGGTTGCTCCTCATTGCGTTGCGTTGCAGGGGTGGTATGCTTACTTGGGGGGCCTGGGCGAAAATTTTCGTGTGCCCCAGGTGCCCCCCAGCTAGAATAATATATGCTTGATAAACAAGACCAATATGTATAGTGATTATATTAACAAAATAGCGGTCTTGCGCGTCTAGAAGCAGTATATAACAAAGAAGTTAGATATTGTGCCCCCCCACGAACAATGTAAGGACTACCACTTGTGCCCCCCGCACCCCCCAGCGCTGAAAAATTGTAGCGTACGACTGGTTGTGCTTCCTCACTTGTCGTGCGCTTGCCTGCCTCCTTTGTCGTGCGTTGCCTGCTCACTTGTCTGGTTGCCTCCTACGTTGTCAGATGAGTTGCATCACTTCTGCTTGTCGTGGTTGCTCATCATTGTCGATGTGTTGCACCTGCTTCTTGTCCGTGGTTGCCTCATTACTTTTACTGTGGTTGCCATTCCTCCCTTGTGTGGCTTGCTATCCTACTTGTCCAGTGGTTTGCTGCTCGACTTGTGTCGTTGGGTTGCTTCTCCCCTATGTCGTGGTTGACTCTCTCCTCCTTGTCGTGGTTGCCGTCTTCGCTTGTATTGGTTGCATATCTTGTACTGTTGGCCTCGCTCGTTGTAGTGGTTGCCCCTG